CGGAGTTAAACCACGACAGTGTGCTAACCTAGTTTTCCCATGAGGTACTAAGAATTTGCGAGTTGTAAGGCACATAACAGATAGAGTGGAAAGCATTTCCTATAAGCATAGCTTGGAGAGAATGTTAAAGTTGCACAGTTACCTCATTAAAATCAGAAAATGGCAGGACTTCAAAAACTAAACCAATCTGAGGGGAAAAATAACAACTGGGAAAGGGCACAGAGAAACTTAGGAAACCGATATTCATTATTATGTTAATTCTCTAAAAATTTTAAGGTGGGTTTTTTTCTAGTGATTTCTACATGGTATCTTTTAACTTAGTATTTCAGTATGTCAGACATCTGTGAAACTTCATTGTAGCACCTTGTAAAACTTTAAATTTACTCTTATTTGGAGCTTACAGGTTGAGCTTGAGCAATTTATTTGTTTGTTTTGGTAGGTCCTGTTTTGCCGTTTGACAGATGAGCAGCGTCAAGTCTATCAAAATTTCATCAGCTCTAAAGAAGTTTACCAGATACTCAATGGAGACATGCAGGTTGGTATTAATTAAGGTTAATGGCAGGTAGAGCTTGATGGATAAAGTCATGGACTGGCCTTCACATTCTTCTAGCTGGATTCTGAGCAGAAAGAGAAACAAACACACTGAACTCACTTCTGCTTATGTGGATGTCTGCCTTTTTTTTTTTCCTCAGCAGCGTTCCATGAAATATGTAGTCAGTGATCCCTATGTAGTGGCATGACCAGCTAGAAGTAGGAATGGAATGGGCTTCACAATATGTTTGTGATCTTGGGAACAAATTGTGGCTTGTTGGATGACCTGCTGTAGGTAAATGTATGCATGCTTTTAACCAACTGCAGGAGTGAGGCAGAGGAAAAGAGTAATTTGTCCTGAGAGTACAGTTCAGGTACAATAACTTCATGATGCAACAGTTGATCATTTCACAGTCTTAACATAGGGCAAGCATCCCTGTTGCTGCCCGCTAGACCCTTCAGCATCTTTTGCCTCCATCCTCACAATGTAATTGCTGAAACTGCTGTGGCCTGATGACAGCAGTAATTGAAATACTGTTTCAAATGCCTGCTGTTTGCCTGTGTAAAAAGTCTGTTATTCCCTGTGACTCCTACATTTCACACATCTGGCCCATTTGACTTCTATATGCATGCAGTGGACGTTTTTCACTCACATTTTTGCTGCAGCATACAGATCTATTGTTTGTAAGTGGAGAAGTAATGTTTATTGGTTATAATGTGTAATTCACCACGTTTCCTTGTCTTGTGAGCTGTGAAATCCCTTCTCCCCTCAACCCCCATGGCTCCAGTTAGTTGCATGATCAGTACAGCCATGTATATTGCAGTGCCATACAAAGTACATGTTGCTCTTATCACTGGTTTCTCCATATCACACAGCTATGGTGGCTGAGTTTTTTCAAGTGCCTAGCAGTTTTAGTTATCCCAATTAAAATTATTTTAATGAGCTTGATCTTCAAGAGATGGCTTGTACAAGACTATCTGCAGAAATTTTTCTAAAATGTTACAGAATGGTTTATCATATTTGCTAGACTTCTGAAAATTTTGAACAGCAAATCTTAATGCTTTTATTAGATGTTTTGTGATGACAGAAGTGTATCCCAGCTGAAAAACAAAACCACCACTGTACAAATAAACCATAAATTATGAGCAGGCTCATTCAACTTGTAGTGATAGAAGATTGAGGGATTTTCTGTTTCAAGCTAGTTCATTTATATGAGTGTCCATTATATCAGAGGAATAAACACTTGTAATATTATTGAATGAATAACTGAACAGAATCCTTCTAATATGGCATCAAATGTGGTAAATTCCAGCTTTATATGTTTGTTCAAATATGTTTACTCATCTGTTCTTTGTTTTCATGCATTCTGGTAGGTATACATGCTATCCTCAAGCTCTGTCAAGTTTCTTGCTAATGAGGAAGTAGCAAATAGATTGCAATGAGAGACACAATAATTTCAAGTAAAAAACTTGATGGAGTTTTTCCTTTTGAGTAGAAAAAATTTGACTGTGAGTTACTCTCCATGAAACTAGGATTAGTGTCCATTAAATTCTCTAAAAAGCAAACCACTGTTAAAGACAAACTTCTTGATGATGATTGGATTAAAACATTGCTGTTTATTTTTTGCAACCACAACCCTTATAAACACAAGTATTTGTCAAGAAAATAATTTTGTTTCCCTCTGTATTTTTTAGATATTCTCAGGACTAGTAGCTTTGAGAAAAATTTGCAACCACCCTGACCTCTTCTCTGGTGGTCCCAGTATTTTGAAAGATGTACCAGATGCTGAAGTGGAAGAAGCAGATCAGTTTGGATATTGGAAACGTTCTGGAAAAATGATAGTGGTAGAATCCTTGCTGAAAATATGGCACAAACAAGGTCACAGAGTGTTGGTTTTTACTCAGTCAAGACAGGTAAGATGAGCTAATTGGTTTAGTTTGTTACTAAAGCTACAAAAAGCGTGTGTTTGTGTGTCCCAATAAGACTTGTTCTTAGAAGCACCTTTTGTAGTGTCCTCCTTAGAAAACTAACATTTTATTGAAGAAAAAATACCAAAATTACTTATGTCTTTGGAATAATTGGATGTCAGTTCCAAAGATCAGTACGCTTTACTGGAATGACAGTGTTGTAGCAGTGTTGCCCAAATTCAGTCTGCTGAATCAAAGCTTGTATCATTTGTACCCATATAATACCAGGCTGAAGCAGTGGTGCTGTATTTCTTGTCCCTACTGTGTAGTTTCAGGGTAGAATTGGTACTCAGTTTGATCGCTTCAGCTAGTGCACGTGCACATCTAATACTCAGGATTGTGTGCTTTGGGCCAGCAGCATAGACAGTGGCCTTCATTTGTTTTCCTTATGTGTTCACAATTTTGTCTTGCTTCTGTGGAATCCCTGGAATGCTGCACCATTTACCTGGCTAATTGTCTTGAGACCATGGCTCGGCTTCCTAAGCCAAGCACAAGCATTCAACTCCTGCATTCAGCAGTGAAATAACTACTTTTTAATTCCCCCCTCCCTGCTCCCCCAGGTATATAAGTTAATGAATTTTCTGCTCATTTAAGATTCACGAGTGTTTGGTCATTATCCTCTGTGTTTGATTGGCACTGCAGTTACTACCAGAAATTCTTATGACTTGATCAGACAGTTGCTTAGTCTTCACATCTGGATTTAATTATTTTTTTTCCATCACAACAGATGCTGCAAGTACTTGAAGCCTTTGTGAGAGACAGAAATTATTCCTACCTCAGGATGGATGGCACCACAACAATAGCTTCCAGACAGCCCCTTATAACAAAATATAATGAGGTGAGACATTGCCTGTTAGTGAGCATGGTTGAATTCTTGCATTCCTTTTAGGTCTCTTCTTAAATATACTACTTCAGGTTTTAAATACAGAACTGAAAATTTGGAAATTAACTCATTTGATCTAAATGAAATTTAGATCAAACTCCTTTTATTTGTCAAAACAGATATTAGGCAAACAAGGAAATGTATTCCTTCTCTTGGCTCCCTTTGCATCTTTGCAAATAATGCTGATTATAGAATCCAGGAAACTTAAAAAAAAAAAAAAAGTTGTACTTTGGTAATTCTTGCTTCAGTAAATTCTCTCTTGTGTTGTAGGACAAATCCATATTTGTTTTTCTTCTAACAACTCGTGTTGGTGGCATTGGAGTTAACTTGACTGGTGCTGACCGGGTTATTATTTATGATCCTGACTGGAATCCCAGTACAGACACACAGGTGAGTTTGGTTCATTGCATTCCATTTACCAGCTAATTGAAAGAAAACTTAAAATGAAACAACATTTATCCTCTCAAATAGCATTAAAGCACTATGTTGCCCTTCCCTAAGTTGCTGTTCCCAGCGATGCTCACTTCAGGGTATGGTTCCACATAATGATTATTCTTGTGGCAAAGCCAATTTAAGTGGTTCCCACCACATCCCCTTTATGCTGTTATACCTTATCACTCATTAATACTGTCGATTCATATAGTCTGTTTAGATAGCAGCCAAACAAGCAGTTGAAATGACCTGGGTGGTTTTGGTTTTTTTTTTAGTGGTTTTTTGGTTTTGGGTTTGTTTTTTTTTTTTAAATAAGCAAACAAACTAGATGTTTGTGAAGGCAGAGTACCATTGTGCAAGCTCTTGGAACAGACAGGACTGTTCATGGCAGGGTAAGAAAAGGAGAACAAATGTTGCTTAAATTGGCTTTGTCACCATATAATGGTATGTAGCTATGCCCTTAGAAGCTGCTGTTAAGCCAATATCTTGTTGGCTTTACCTGAGTTGTTCTTTACCTGAGGGTGTAATGAGACTCTGGGTTATCAGATCCTTTGATAGCATATGGGGCTTACATGTTTGAGAGGAAAGAACTATTTTTGATGGAAAACCTACATAGCTCTGAGATCTGCAAGTGTGTAGTCTGACCTAGTGTGGTCTGTTTTACCAGTTGTTTCAAGATGTTTGTAGAAAAGCTTTCAGTTACGAAAGAGAAGTGAAGTTCAAAGGAAATGTGTGTATTAGCTCTGTTATGAAACAGATCCCTTTTGGAATAAGTCTATTAAGCACATGTCCTAGAGATAAGTTCTAATTCTAATAGAACATATTTTTTGAGATTTCTTGGTACAGTTGGAGACTTGTCTTTTTACCTATGTAAACTTTCTAAATTATTTTCCTGTCTTGCTGAGTTAGTTATCCTAATGCTGTAGAAATATCACAGCTGTGCAACTTCTTGAACTATTTGTTAAATGTCCAAACTAAATTTGCAACAGTGGTATGGAGCGTTCTCTGTTGAACACATGTCTAAAAGGCTAATGTCCCATAACCAAACCTTTTTTGTGTTCCAGGCTCGGGAACGTGCTTGGAGAATAGGCCAAAAGAGACAGGTGACTGTGTATAGGCTTCTTACTGCAGGTACTATCGAAGAGAAGATATACCACAGGTCAGTCAGAAAGTATTCCTTGGATACATCTGTATGCTCAAGAAAATCTTGTAGCAGATCTGAGGTGGTGTAGCAGTGACATACTTGTGGATGTGTGCATGTGGTTTGTAAGCCCCAGCTTTGGTTATGAAGGGCACATCATGGAAATCCTGAAAAAATTGCAGCTGAGAAATGGATCGCCTTATAATATTGGCCACCCAGCTGCAGGGCTGTGCTGCTGCCTCGCGTACTCCAAGAACTACGTGCTAATGGTACCTCATCATTCTGTTCCAGCAGCTGTGTCCAGCACATCCAAAATTCGTTGTAAATGAGAGACTATGAGGCACAGACAGGAAAAAGTGGGCCTCTTACTCAGAACATGAGACTCAACAAGTCTGAGATGCAAATTGAAATCAATAAGTTCTTTATGTTGTCCTTAAGATACAGAAAGATGTGTGTGGTACATATATCCATTTACTGCTCTGCAAACCCAATTTGATTTAATTCCCAAATCGTTCCAAAGTGAGAGAATGAAATCCCAAGAACCACCAGTCATACTCAGGCTACTTATTCCAAAAGGTAGCTAAAGCCTTAAAGTGCTTGTATTTTGAAATCAATGAAATCTTTTTGGTTTGCTTTCCCATTCAGCTTTCTCAGTTGCAGTCACATGAAATCCAAATGAATGTACATGGGAATCCTCTGTTGTCTAGGCATTACTCTTTAGAACTGGAATATCCTCTTTGAAAATGCAGATGAATGAAAAGCTCTAAATAATGAAATACCAGCACTTATTGAGTGCCTTTTTTATCTGTTTTACCACATGGACACAAAGCATCCGCTGTTGTCTGGCTTGCGTCCCTCTGGCATACTTCTGTTTGAACACCACTGACCACATCGAGGAAGCGGGCTCTAAGGGTCAGGACAGCCATCAGAAATTCATTTATTTCCAGAACAGTGCAATGGACCTTCAACTTTAAGCAAGTTGTCTTTTTCTCTTTGCCTGTGTTTTCCTGCCTGCAAATATGTGATCATCCTTGCAGGAAGCTATGAAGCTCAGTTAATTCTTAAAAAACTTTAATCTTCTGATGGGTGCACTACAGTAACTGGCACCTGTGTTTAAACTTAGTTTTTGCCAATTGGATTTAAAAATAGTTTTCCTTCTTAATGCTAGTAGAGCCAAAACCATGATAAAAAAACTTATTGAGAACTGATTTCCAGCTCTATTTAGAGACTTATTTTTTCATACAGGAAAATAGTGCCTAGAACTTGCAGTCAAAAACTATGTAGTACAAACATGGCATAGAAGTAGATTTACCAGTAGCAGAAGACTTACCACAGAATGGTTTGGGTTGGAAGGGGCCTTAACGATCATCTAGTTCCAACCCCCTGCCATGGGCAGGGACACCTTCCACTAGACCAGGTTGACTTTCTTGCAGCTTAGTTCTCCCTGAGATGTGTTCCTCTCAGTCCTCTGCAGATGGGCTCTTTTTTTTTTTCCTGTCCTCTCAACCACAAGCCTGTTTTTTTCCTTTTCAGTGGTTATCATCTGGTCATGACCATCAGATTGAGCTACTCATCTGTTTTTGATTCTTCCAACCAATTGAACCGTGAAAATGTTGTCATTTTAGCAAGCTCTTGTTTTTTTTTTCAAGGAGCTTTCTGATAGTTTCATTGTAATGTGTGCGAGCTTTTCGATTTTAATGGACAAAAAAAAGAAATCTAGCTGTGAAGTTATTTATTGCTTAGTTAAAGAATGCCTCATGAAGGATGTTTCAGGATGGTGGTTACCTGTTGTGTTATGGGGCTGTTGCAAAACAATCAATCCTTGCATTTAACAATTTAGTTGGTTGTTTGAAAGTTACCAACTCAAGATTGTCTTTTGGAAACGAACCTCATCTCCCCACTGTTTAATTGTTCTGCAGGGTAACGTTTGTGCTTATGCAGTTTTCTGTTTAAGTACTGTATTCAGTACTTAAACCTAGCTAGACATTGTTTCATGTGCAAACTACTTTTTTTTCTTTTTTAGGCAAATCTTCAAACAATTTTTAACGAACAGGGTGCTGAAAGATCCTAAGCAAAGGCGCTTTTTCAAAACCAATGACCTTTGTGAACTTTTTACTCTGAGCAACCCAGATACATCTCAGGGGACAGAAACAAGTGCGATTTTTGCAGGTTCGTATTCATTTTCTATTTGTTTACAAGAAAGAGACGTTTGAAGTGTTTTGATACATGTGTACTAATTTCATTCATCCCTCAGGTACTGGTTCAGATGTTCAAGTCCCAAAACACCAATCTAAATGTAAACGTGAAAAGCCAACGGATAGCGACACTTCTAAAGGTGATCTCTGTCTTACAGAAAGCAGCTCACCAAAGTACAGCAAGTTATCCAATTCCTCCTCAACCACCCAGATGAAAAATTCTTTTTCTAAAGCAATAGGTACAAGTGAGGGAAGTAAAGGAAATTTGGAAACCTTTGACCTAAATAGCTATGCAAAAGATAATGCACAAGCTGCTAGTAATCTAAATTCATTGAGTAAAGGCGAAGAGGAAGGCTTGGAAGATGCTGACAAGTCTGTGTCCCAGTCATTGCCAGGTGATGCAGAGTCTTCAGATAATGCCGAATGTCTGAACGCCAACGTGGACGGTGAAGTACATGGGGCAGCTCATGCAAATGTCAGTGGAGATTTTAGCCTTGCATGCGGTGCAGGTGGCTCTCGGGAAAAGCAGGTTGCTAAAACTGAAGGTGGGCAATTCGATAATAATCATTATAAATGTACCTCAAAAACAAAGCACAGGGTGGATATGCTGTCACATGAGAGTCACAAAGATAAATCTAAGAGGAAACGTCACAAAGATGCCAAATTTGAAGGAGAGCGTATTCCTCATCTAGTGAAACGAAAGCGATACAGAAAGGAGAACAGCGAAGAGAAGGAGGAAGACTCGAAGAAAAATGACGATTACGTCTTGGAGAAACTTTTTAAAAAATCAGGTAATTGTTGTTTGGCTGCTCAGTAGAGTCAGACTATTTATACATGGGTATGTGAAACATGCAAATGAGGGAAGGAGAAGTTCTGTTACTCTGATGGTTAGAGCTACAATACAAAATGTGTTTTATATATGTCATGTTTCACTGCAGTAACAGAAACGTTCATCGTTGATCTGCTCTGGTAATGAATGTGTTAATTAACATTTCCAAAATCTGCAGCCTTCCAGAAACACTTCTGGATGTAGAAGTAATGCAGCGTTTCTTCTGGACGTAACCAACCTTCATTTACACAAGGGTTTCACTCCTGTCCATAACAAAAGAAATAATCGATTTACCCACATAATTGCAAAGTCTGTTGTGAATAATGACCTCATCAGCACACCATAAGTGGTTTGCTGTCAAATTGATTGCTTAACTGATAGAAGGGGGTTTCTCTTATTAGAAATGGCCATACTGAAGTGCTGAATATAATCAACCTGAAAAAGGAAAAATGCAATTGTGGCATTCACTTAAATGGTGAATACTTAATTTTACAGATAACCATGTAAATTAACAGATGTCCTCCTTTGCTTTTTCTTGGGGTTTTTAGGGGTACACAGTGTTATGAAGCATGATGCCATCATGGAATCTTCCAGTGCAGATTATGTGCTGGTGGAAGCAGAAGCAAACAGAGTGGCCCAGGATGCCTTAAGAGCCTTAAAAGTCTCTCGACAGCGATGTTTAGGGGCTGCTTCTGGTGTGCCAACCTGGACCGGCACGAGTGGGCTTTCAGGTGCACCCTCAGGAATAAAGTAAGTTCAATTCTCACACTGCTTTTCCAAAAACAGAGGAGTTCCTTAGGATACTATGGATTTACCTCTTTTTTGCACTTGGTATTTGCAGGAACCTGTGTCATAGTGGAGTTTCATGTTTTATATTTAACATGAAGGTATATTAAAAACGTAAGAATTCCATTCTGAAGTACAAAGAAAGCATTATGTTGCACAGTGGAGGAGAAAGTTTGGCAGAGGGCTCTTGAGAACCCTAAAATGCAAACCCAGTCAGTGTCTTTGGCAAAACCATCCTAGTTGTTTTGAGAAGGATGTTTTATGGAGTTAATTCTTTTGTGGTTTTTAAGGAGTCGCTTTGGTCAAAAAAGAAACTACATGCTGCTTCCTTCAAATTCCACTCCTGTGTCACCTGCAAAGAATTCCAAGGTAAGAGACACAAGCTAATGTTTTGCTTTTAATAGCTAGTATATGTAAAATGTTATGCAACAAATCTGATTTATACTGTAGGTGTCTCATCCCTTTTGTCATATAATGTTGTAAAATTCTAGAATTTTGAGTCACCCATGAATTTGATTTTTCATGTTTTGATACAGCATCTTGATGAAGTCTAATTAGATAACAGCAGTCACAAATTGCAGCATGGTCTGGTTATGTCTCAAGACCAGAACATATTACCTCCTTATTGTGTATTTCAGATGACTAGCTTCTGAGTGTTCGTGTTTGTTTAAGTCTAAGCAGCAAGCAGATTTTGTGTAACAGATTCTGTGGGTCTCAAAATCCAGCTTTCTCCATAGTCTGTACATTTATTTGCAGGATGCAGATACAATAAAGAAAGAAAATTTAAAGAAGTGTAATTCCAGTGGGCACTTTGATGGGAAATCTGGAGAATTGTCGTCCAGCGCATTAGACTCTTCATCTTTATTAGCGAAGATGAGGGCAAGAAACCATCTTACTTCAGGACAACAAACAAGGAATGAGGGAGATGAGAACCATCAGCAAGCAGCCACCCCAGCCCTGGGTTCCACAGAATACGATGAACTGCTCGTGGACGTGCGTAACTTCATAGCGTTCCAGGCCCGCGTGGATGGCGAGGCGAGCACTCAGGAACTACTGCACGAATTTGAGTCCAAGCTGCCGGCGGCACAGTCGTGCATCTTCAGAGAACTTCTCCGCGGTATGTGCACCTTCCATAGGAGCCCGAACGGTGAAGGTGTCTGGAGGCTAAAGCCGGAATTCCACTGACCTTTGTGAAGGGAAGGCACCTGTCTGTGCGTTCAGCCACGACTCCTCTTTCAAAGACTTACTGGTTTTCTTTTAAAATGAGGAATTAATTATTTCATGATTGACTTGAGCAGTCAGTGTTGCAGCACTTGTTGCAGACTCAGAGCTAACTTAATTTCTGATTTACAATATTTATATGAAAGTGCCATCTACCTCATAGGTGAAATAATGCTGAATATCAGCACCTTTTCTTTAGAAGAAATCTTAATATAAACTGGATAAAGAATACATACTGACTTTTTATTGCAGTAAGAACCATGGATGTTGCTGTGGGTTGTAAGACTTTGATTTGATTTCTGTGAGATTCCAAGAACTGCTTCCTCCATTTTCTGTATGTTACGTGAATATTCATGGGGCACACAGTGCCCCATGAATCCAAAAAAAAAGAGGAAGAGAACAGTGGTCAGCATGAGAGATTTTTACTACAAGTGCATCAAAATCATTGGATGACACTGTCATCAGTAGCAGGAATTTTGTTTTAACGTTGGTGCTTTTACTGTTGCCAGCATCTAGTGTGTGCTGTGTAACTTATATCACTAATTTACTTGGGAAGTAATTCTACTGCCACAGAGGTTCAATCACAAAAAAATTGAAAGCCTGGCAGGATATTGAGATGACTGACGGTCGATAATTGTGGGAAACTTCCTGTCTTCTGGAAAACCCATTTACACCATAATCATCACTTCGGTTACGGTCCCATACACCACTGGCAATTGCTTGTTAGGATATTTCTTACCACTGAGGTGACGGTTTGACACAGGTTGGTAATTGAAATCCCATAAAATGTTTGTGGGTCTTACTGTAATTGATGTCAAAAGCTTTCCAGTTCCCTGTTAGCACTTTAAAATTTTATACTTTGACAAAGAGGGACGGTTAGTTGGTCAGGGGGAGAATGGTTTCACTGTATTTTACTAAATATAATCACTTTTGGCCTGAGGCATAATTGGAGCATATACGGAAGTTACAGGTCATACCGGTTCTGTAGATAGGGAAAATCTCAGTCATCCTGACAGTCAGACAAGTTCTAATACCTATTTTCTTCCAAGGAAGGATTGGATTATTTGTAGGAAACCCGAGTACTACATTATGTCTTCAAGATACTAGTGTGCTGTGTAAGGAAACCTTAATGGGGGAAAAAATTGATAGGTTTTGAGAAGAGAACCACATTCTTGCACACCCTTGCAGCAACATCAAATTACTGTATGGCTTAAACTAGGAACACTTGAATATGCCCAATGTTCTTCCTATACTACTGAACTACTTTTATTTTTTCGTTTAGTGGGAAAGTATCTTGTTTACTTCAAATGAAAGTACAAATATTGAGAGATGAATGGTGAAGCAATAACACAAACTGTTATTTTGTTCTCACAAAGTCTTTAAGGTACTTCCAATGGCTTTTCCTCTTGTTTTTGTTCAATGCTTAAGGATCTGTGAAGGTCTGCGAAAAGCGGTACCTCACTGTTTCCATACCTGGTCAGTTGGCTTTTCACAGGCTGGAGTTGGAAAGGGCAGACAGTCCAAAAATCTGTTTCTTTTCCTCATGGCATTTGAAGGTGGGACTGTTGCCACCTTCTCCCGACATCTCTTTTTCTGATCCCATTTTTCACTTACATTCCCTCTTTCAGGAGAAAGATGAAACCAAGAATGTAGGCTGCAATTACCAAACACTTCAAAAATAGTAGATCTGTTGATAGGACTTAAAATGGATCAGGAAAAGAGTGAAAACAAACCAATTTAGTGTTCTTTGCAAAACCACAGGGAATTTTCACTGGGTTTAGGTGTCATGCCCTGACACATCCCTGCGCCCCAGGAACAAACCATTCAGCTGCTGTTGTCATCTTAGCTGTCAGTTCTGGTTTCCTGTTTTATTTACTACTTCCAGTCTTAAAGACATAGTTCCTGTACTAAGGAAAGATTGCAGCTTCTTGCTGATCTGTTAATGTAAATAGACTTGCATGTTCTTTTTATAAATCCCTGGATTTTATGGACTAATTAAAAAAGCAAAACCAAAAGTCTGTTCTGGAAGTCTTCTTTGGTGGTGGGGATGGGGGGAAGAATGAGGGGGATCCATCTTTTCCTGTGTAGTGTGGCTCTAAGTGATTCATATTACCTTTAAGTACATTTCTATTTTACATATAACTTCAAATTATGCATCCTAGCAACTAGATTTTTTTCCAGTAAGAGCTTTTGTTTAAAATGTTTAAAACACTGGGTGAATATTAGTATGATCTCAAAAGCGTATGTGATTAAAGGTCTACAGGCTGATTTTATAGGTTAAAGTTGTTCTGGAATATAATATAGCTGCTATATGTTTTAAAGTAGAAGAGTTATTTCAGGATAATCCTAATTTTATTCCATAAATCATTATCTGAGTTTTTGTTTCTTTAGCTTTACCTTTGTAAAGTGAATTCTTTTCACATATCCAAAAAATATCTGAAACAATTCCTGACCAATGGTATTGCATAGTCAAACATGTTTGACATTAAATAGTTCATAGATCCAGGCTGGATGAGGCTTTGAGCAACCTGGTCTAGTGGAATGTATGGCAGGGGGGTTGGAACTAGATGATCTTTAAGGTCCCTTCCAACCCAAACCATTCTGTGACTCTGATTTTTTTTAAAAGCTTGTATTTTACCGTTCATAGTTTCCAAGTATTTGATGCTGCAGTTCATAGTTGCTACTTTATTTGTGCATGGTTCCAAAAATCACTCATCTGGAATGCTTATCTGTTTTTAATTCCTTTTCTTACCTCAGTAAAAAGACAATAAAGAATGATCAAAATACAGTTGTTAATTCAGGAATTAAATTGAAAAAATCATTAAATCTTATAAGGAAAGATATTTCAGCATGAAACAGGGAGTATCATCTTTAAACAGGGGAAAAAAAAGTTAATACCACAAGGAACTACTGAAAATGGCTTTTCTATAAAGATGTTTAAAGCTGAGCACCACGCTACTCCAAAACTGTCATGCCAGCATGGATGATGTGACCTACTAACCACACAGCTCGGCAGACAAATGCAGTTGAACAAAAATCTAGAAAGCTATATACCAAAAACTTGGATTGTTCTGTAAGCAGTTAGGGGGACTGTGTACTCTGTTTGGGTAAAATGTGTTGCACTGGTATTTTAACAGCAGAAGTTAAAACTTGCTGTATTGTTCTTTCTGGTTTCAAACCATATTTGTAAAGGGGGAAGTAAAAAACCTCTTGCTTTTTTTATTAAGATGTTCCCCGCCAACAGCATCCCATCCTCCTTTTACATTCTTCGACGTGTGTTTTCCTGTGTTCATCCTTTGGCTGAACACTTACATCTTGTGTAGCCAACCCACTCCTCTCTGGCATAAGAACTAAATTCTGAGCTAGGAAAAAAAATGCTTTTCTAAAGGTTGTAGGCGTTTGACTCTTCTGAACAATAATGACCCGCCACGAAGTGTGAGCAAGATGCTGAATTGATAGTTTGATAGAAGTAGTGATTAAAAATGGAGAGGAAGATGTTTCAATCCATAACTTCATACTGTGGCTCAGCCTCTTCTCAAAGGGCTACACCATGTGGAGAATTGAGTCTACTACAGCTAATAAATGTTACTCTCCCAAGTAAAGCTGTAGAGAATTGGGCTTTGATATCTGAGTTTTGGCTGCAGGTGAGTAGTCGCCTATAGACAGCTGTACTCGAGTCACAAGGTCAACTGTGCTTTTTACACCAAGATTGCTAAACTTGGCTAATTTTGACTGTCTTCTAGCAGTGCAATTCTCTGCCTTTCAAGAAGCTACAACAGAAAGGACAAGACTTTCTAAAGGACTTGATGGGATATTTTTGTTGTTGTTCAGAAAATCCTGAAGTACTTCCCTTCTTTGAGCTACTGAGCCATTTGGACTGAGAAGTTTCCAGTTCCTCAGCTGTTGTAAACGCAGCTCCACTGACATGGATGGGCTGATGCTGCTCCTCAAGTACCCAGCCTTCATCGGAGCCAAAAAACATGTTGTCTGGGATGCTGCACGTACATGACTGAAACAGCCACAGAACGTGAGCCTTTCTCCAGTTTCTGTGTGCTTATTGATACTGCTGTATGGAAAGGATGGTCAGTGGTGAGTTGCATGCCTGAAAAGTGATAGCCTGTTGCACAGGTTTTGGGTTGATTTTCACAAAAAATTGATCTTGTGGGCTGCATTTTTGGCTGAACTACATATACAGCTTGTGCTTTTCAAAAACTATGGACATAGGTGATGGCAATTATTTCAGTAGCCATTTGAAGAGACCTATGTGTCTTGATTTCCCCAGTTAGTTATGTATCAAGTGCACTTGGTTATACTGATGTTAGCCTGCAATTGAATCAGGGTTCTTTTCCCTCATCTACCAGTTAACTCAGTTTGGTAGTGAATGAATACTGCCAGACCCATAATGGCCCATCACTACTGTGTAAGGAAAATGCCCTTCATAGGGAGAGCACGTTTGGCATTTGCTAAGACTGAACAGATACACAAAATCTGTTCAGTAAACAATGATATTAGTGTGTAACTGTGAAAATGAGAAGGGAATCCTCATAGCCTTCTCAGTGACTAAGATGTCCAGGCAGGTGTCACGTAACTAGAAAAAACAGTGTGAAAGTTTCTGTTGCAGGATGTATCTTTCAGGGAAAGCTGTCAAGGGAAGTAGTAATTTTAAGCAATTCATTTGACAAAACAGTCTTAGAAGAAACAGTAACTTGACCAATGTTCTTTCAAAGGGGTCATACTTTTCTCCAACATAAAGTAATTTTATTTTTAAAAGAAGGAACTGGGTAGGCAAATAATAAAATTGATAATACCTGACTTGTATTCATTTTGCACACTGTTACGATTCCTATGTCAAAACAGTAGTAACAGTTTAAGCAGTTTCCTCTCTTGGAGGGAGGAGGTGTTGAGGAACAGCTGTATCTCAGTGGTTCAGCAAGGAAGGACAGTGCAGTGTCTCTGGTGCTGGT